CTGCTCTTGAATATCGTGGGTGGGGTGCACAATTTTAACAAGGTGGATCTGGTACTTTGCCAGAGGGGATTTGTCTCTGCTGAGGATATCAGAGCCATCCTGGTCTGCTCTACAAAGCACACAACTATTTTTGTGTGCAGGTCTTCTTCCACAGGGAACTCACACTGCCGTATAGGCCATTCAGGTAAGGAACATGGTGTCTACAAATTTTGGGCACTCATCTTCTTCCATAAAGGATGAACAGCTGATGCGAAACCCAGGGTTGTTAATGTGATATATCACATTGATTGTTGTGTTAATATTGAACCACACTTGCAAACCTAGAATACATCCCACTTGGCTGGATCTTTTTTTTTTTTTTAATCCTTTCAGCCACTTGGTGTTTTTTAATTAGTGAGTTTAACCCATTTACATTTAATTAATTATTTATAGGTAATGCCTTACTCTTTCCATTTTGTTAATAGTTTTGTTGTTATTGTTTTATACTTGTTTTATCCTTCTCTTCCTCTCTTGCCACCTTTCTTTGATATTTGTTGGGTTGTTTTATGAGTGATTTTCTTTGATCCTTTTCACTTTATCTTTTGTGTATCTATCATAGCTTTTTACTTTCTGTTTAACGTATGTGTGTGTAAAATATGTACTTTCAATTTTTATTTTAAGTCAATAACAATTTAATTTCTATTACATAAAAAACTCTCCACTTTTACTTTCCCACATACTTTCTGTAGTCAGAGTTTGCTTCTTTTTATATCATGTATTCATTAACAATTTTTTACCTTGTAATTTTATATTAGGTTTAAAAATTATTTATGCACCATTACAGTAGTACATTAAACTTCATTTATCTATATATTTAGCTTTACCAGTGATATTTATGCATTTCTATAATTTAACATTGATGTTTAGTGTGTTTTAATTTTAATTTTAGGAACTCCCTTAAGCATGTGTTTAAGGCAATTCTAATGGTGATGATGAAATCCCTCAGTTTTTGTTTATTTGGGAAACACTTTATTACTTCTATATTTTTTGTTTTTATTTATTTTTAAATATTTATTTATTTATTTATCTTGAGAGAGGGAGAGAGAGAGAGAGAGAGAGAGAGAGTCACGGTCTGAGAGAGAGAGACACCCAAGCAAGCTCCACACTGTCAGTGCAGAGTCATATGGGGAGCTTGAAGTCACAAACTGTGACATCATGACATGAGCTGAAATAAATAGTTGGATACTTCTATATTTTTTAAAATACAATGTTTCCAGTTACAGTATTTTTGGCATGAGATTTGTTTTTAGTACTTTACATATATCATCTTATTCTGTTCTGTCCTGCAAAGTTTCTGCTGAGAAATTCACTTATATTTTATGATTTCTTCATATATAAGAAATTGATTTTCCCTTGTTACTTTCAAAATTCTTGCCCAGTCCTTGACCTCTGATAATCTGATTATAACGTGTTTCATTGTAGTCTTCATTGGATCGATAATATTTAAGGATTTTTTAAGTTTATTTTTGAAAAAGAGAGAGGGAGAGGGAGGGAGGGAGAGGAAGAAAGAGACAGAGAGAGATTGTGAGCAGAGGAGGCTCAGAGAGAGGGAGACAGAATTCTTAGCAGGCTCTGCACTGCCAGAACAGAGCCTGAAATGAGGCTTGAACTCACAAACTGTGAAATCATGACCTGAGCCAAAATCAAGAGTTGGATGCTTAACTGACTGAGTCACCCAGCAGCCCGAGGATTTTTGAGCTTCATTAACCTGGATGTTAATTTCTTTCCCTAGATTTATTTTTTTTCATTCATTATTTCTTTAAATAAACTTTTCCCCTCATTCTTTCTCTTTTCTCCCTCTGGAACTCAAATAATGCATTTATCAGTGCAAGAAAAACAATAAATCCTGACATTCTATAAATCCTGTAGGTTTTCTTTCCTTTGTTTCCTTTTTTCCTGTTTCTTCTCTGACTGGAAAATTTCAAATGACCTATCTTCAAGTTCACAGTTCCTTCCTTCTGATTGATCATGCCTGATATTGAATCTTTCAATTCCAGATTGGAATCTGCTAGATTCTCTTATTGATTTCTATCTCTTTGTTGAACTCTTCATTTTGTTCATGTATTGTTTTACTGATTTCCTTGAGTTGCTTAATTGTGTCTTATAATCATTCAGCTTTCATAAAACAATTATTATGTAATTATTATTTGGATTTGTCAAATTTGTCAGGTAAGTCATAGGTCTCCATGTCTTTGGGGTCAGTTAGTGAAAAACCATTTTGTTCCTTTGGTGGTGATAATTATCTATGTTTCATGTTCTATATGAGTTTGCATTTCTGTCTGCACATTTGAGGCAATAGGCAGCTCTTTCAGACCTTATGGACTCACTTCAGTGGGAAAAGACCTTCATATGCAGGTGGCTACAAAGACACTGGCTGGCTGAGGTGTGGCAGCTTTGGCCTTAGGAGAGTGCAATGGCAGCTCCAGATCTAGGAATGAGGAGGGCAGGGCAGTGTTGATTTTGTGAAATTCCATCAGGTGAGGTTACCTTTTGAAGTGAATGTGAGGTTGTTTGGCAGACAAATCTGTGGGTGTCTGTGGTGACAAAGAGAGCTGCTGTAGTCCTCAGTGGCAAATACTGCTGAAGTCTTCCTGCTCTCCCTTCCCCCTATATGGGGAAGTTATGGCCATGGGGATCCCTCTTAATAACAGAATCTAGTGTTCAGGTATGCACATGGCAGCAGTGCTCATTTATAGACTTAGAAATTCTCAGGGACTTCTTCATTTAAATATCTATCATCATCATCATCATCATCACCATCATTATCATTATCATTATTTTTTATACCTACTTACCTTCATTACATCAAGATACAGATAGATTTCAATCTCTGCATGGTCAAACACAGTGACTACTCTAATTCAATTTCTATAGCTCCAAGTATAACATTATATATAAATGGGAACCTAATACTTTGTTTTATCACAATGACAGATATTTGGAAGTAGGCCACATTATATTTAGTCAGGAAAATTAACTACTTATCAATTCAGAAATTAGTTTACCAGTATATTTATCAAAATATTTTTGTTATCTTGTTAAAAATGGAACAACATAAAATTTTTGTCCAAAATATTTTTCATAATATGGTATACCTAAGAAAAACATGGAAGAAATTATTGCTTGAACTCCCAGTAATTTTTATTGGTACAAAAATTTTTATATAGAAGATATTTCCTGTCAAATGTTGGTCACTTATAAGACACTGTAAGATTTGAAAGCTAGTATGAGGTAAGAGGTGTTAGGATTAGTAAACTGATTATCAGTTTATCAGTGTCTCCTCATCATAAAAACAACTTTTTTCTGAAAAATTTGATAAAATAAAATATCTGATACAAAACAGCATTAAAGATGAGGAATAATGTGAATAAAGCAGATTTTGGACTTAACCGGACAGGAGACTGAAACATAGCTCTGCTAGTTTCTATCCTCCTGAATATGAGCAAAGCTGAAACATACTGTGCCTGTGTTTCCTGATATGCATATGGGAGTATTGAAAATGATTTTCCTTCTGGAAATTTGGTAAGAATTAAGTAACACAAAAGATAGATGAATAAATTCTGCACAACACTGAGATTATAGTTAACTATACTGTATTATACACTTGAAAGTTGCTAAGATACTAGATCTTACCGTTTCTCACCACACACACAAAAAATAATGTGACGTGATGGAGGTGTTAGTTAACACTATCATGTTAATTATATTGCAATATATAAGAAACCAACACATTGCGCACTTTAAGCATACACAATGTTATATGCTAATTATATCTAAATAAAAAATGTTTGGAACTAAAGAAGAAACATGGGAGATACTTAGTACCTAATAACTGGTAAATTCTTAGTGTTGTTATTGTTCTTTGTTTAGTTTTAATTTTAGTATTATCTATGTGTTGCTTCCAGCTAAAACAAATTCAGTAAAAGAATGCATTTTTTTCCATTGATTCCTGAATGTGAGAACTGGTTGAAGAACATCTCCCACTCTATAGTTTGCCATGATCATTTCAATTTTAGATGAGTAGAGCTATGCTATATTAAAGTCAAGGAGGTTTATCCTACTGATCTGAGTCAATTATTTCCCTCTTTAATTAACATTTTTCCCCTCCAAGATAAACTCCACCATGCTTACACTTTTAGGAGCCTAAAAGAACAGAGATAATACTGCTACCAATATGTCTATCACATTACATTGAATTTAGCTGCAGAATTAGATTGGAAATCTATGGCTCCTAAGACCATTTTTGGTTGCCCTTTCTCATTTTCCACTAAAACTAAAACTTATTCATTTATTTATGCATCTGTTAATGCATGTTGATAGTTAAAATTCAAGTTACTTCCAAAAGAGATCTGAGGGGTGGTCTTATGATCAAAACCAAAGTATAATTATCACATGGTAAAGGAGGAAAAACAAATGGCAAGAAGAGAGGGTATATTCGACTCCACAGGCCTCTTTCTGTTCTATTCCTTCCTTTTTTTCTTTTTTTTCTACTTGTTCTACCTCTTTTCCTTAGCCCCTTCCAATGACCTAAGTATGTCAGCACCTTTACTTAGCTAAGGAGGTGGCACTCCACCTAAAGTGACTGCAGCTGAGCCAAGGTGGATTCTCAGACATGCCTCTAAGTGGCAGATTGTTTAGAGAAAGCTGAAGAAGCATAGGCTGAAACTGAAGGGAACATCCTTTCACAGGCAGAAGGTAAAATAGCACTATAAAAATTAGTAATTAATTCCACTACAAAAAAAAATGAAGATAACTGAATGTTTCCTGAAATGTAATTATAACCTGTAATGGTTTTCTAGTTTCACTGTAGTAGTTAGAGAGAGGGTTAAGCATCCTTCTGCAATAACTGTTTTTAATCAACATATACAAGTGATTCTCTCTTCTCTCCCTCATCCCTCCTCTCTCCAATCTCAGAATATTTTAGTAAGACTCACCTGCCTTGTAATCCTGAAGACACTCACCTGTATTAGAATTAAGATCATCAGGCTCTGATTCAGCCCCATTTTGGTTTCCATTTCCCTGAAGAGTGTTCATTGCCATAAGCTTCATCTTCTGCAGCTTCATTGCCTCAGCCATTGCTGCAGCTGTTATACCTAAAATCAGAACCATTCCTTTTATAATGGGGACCATTTCTTAATGTAACTGAAAGATGTATACATTTGTTTAACAGGTCTGTTCTGCATAGCACAAGCCAAAAGAAAACCCATGTCTGATTTATGAATAATATCCTTTAGCAAAGTAAGTTTCAACTCCTGTTATTACTTCATCTTACAATGGACAGTTTAATACTCAAAAAAATCATTAAATGTATACTAAATTCCATCTAAAATAATATTGTCAGAAGAAAATCTGTGAAATACTTGATGAAAATACTTTCCAGTGAGTATTACTGTAGGGACTTCTGCTAAAGGATGAACTGACTTGGTTGTGAGAATTATCTTAGAAGTGAGGGGGAAAGATGGGGAGGGATTATTTCAGATTCTCTTTCCACCTTTTGCTTTCCTTATGCTTTTACATTGAGAGACCAAATAAATGAAAACATGGCATGAAACCTCTGAATGTATACCACCCCCTGTAGTATAATTACATTCTTTTGTATTGATATGAAGCAATTATTTTTAAAACTCTGTATAATGGTATAAATAGGTAGAAATAAAAAACTCAAAGAGAAAATTTGAGTGCTTAAGTTTGAAATTGTTTCTCCTAGGAAGTCTATATCAGGCAGTATCATAAAGATATATAGGAAAATGTATACTAAAAATGGAACAAGCCATACTCCAGTAATGTCCTCCAAAAACTTCTTTGCTCTTCACCACAGCAACTTCTTAGTTCACACGTCTCCAAGGCAAGGGAAGCAAAAGCAAAAATGAACTACTGGGACCTCATCAAAATAAAAAGCTTCCACACAGCGAAGGAAACCATCAGCAAAACTAAAAGGCAACCGACGGAATGGGAGAAGATGTTTGCAAATGACAAATCAGATAAAGGGTTAGTATCCAAAATCTATAAAGAACTTATCAAACCCAACACCCAAAAAACAAATAATCCAGTGAAGAAATGGCCAAAGACATGAATAGACACTTCTCCAAAGAAGACATTCAGATAGCCAACAGATACATGATAAAATGCTCAACATCAGGATTTCTGAGGGGAAGATGGCAATTTAGAAGGATGCTGGGCTCACTGCGTCCTGCTGATAACTTAGACACCACCCACACCTAGCTAAATAATCCAGAAAACCGCCAGAAGACTAGCAGAATGGATTCTCCAGAGACAGGCTCTCTACACGGAGTGGTGGGAGGGAGCCAGGGCAGAGGGGCAGCCCTCTGGCAAAGCAGAGCCCCCAGGTCTGGCTTGCAAAAGCAGAGGGGCCGGATGCAGTGTGTTCTGACGGCAAGCGGTACTTAACATCTGGAAGGTTATAAGTTAACAGCTCGGCTCGGAGAGTGGGAGGGCTGGAGGACAATGGGAGGGAGAGTTTTTGAGCGCCAGAAGAACGACAGAGCTCAGCTTAGTGGGGAACAAAGGCTGCTCACCAGCGCCATCTCCCTCGCCCATCCCCCAGCCAAAATCCCAAAGGGAACCAGTTCCTGTCAGGGAACTTGTTTCCACCCCACAAACACCCAATGCTGTGCTTCTGTGGATCCATCCCTCCGACAGCAGGTCTGACTCCCTCCCAGTGCCACAGAGCCCCTCTTGAAGTGGATCACTTAAGGATAAGTGAGCTGAGCCTGCCCCTCCAACCCCGGTGCACCTTGCCAATCCACCCCAGCTAATACTCCAGATTCACAGCACCACAAGCCTGGCAGTGTGCAAGTAGCCCAGATGGGCCACCCCACCCCACAGTGAATCCCTCCCCTAGGAGAGGGGAAGAGAAGGTACACACCAGTCTGACTGTGGCCCCAGTGGTGGGCTGGGGGCAGACATCAGGTCTGACTGCGGCCTCGCCCACCAACGCAAGTTATTCAAGACAGCACAGGGGAAGTGCCCTGTAGTTCTGCACCACTCCAGGGACTATCCAAAATGACAAAATGGAAGAATTCCCCTCAAAAGAAACTACAAGAAGTAGCGACAGCTAACGAACTGATCAAAAACTATTTAAATACTATAACAGAAAGGGAATTTAGGATAATAATCATAAAATTAATCACTGGCTTGAAAACAGTCTAAAGGACAGCAGAGAATCTGTTGCTACAGAGATCAAGTGACTAAGAAACAGACAGAAGGAGCTAAAAATGCTATTAATGAGCTGCAAAATAAAATGAAGATGACCACAGCTCAGATTGAAGAGGCAGAGGAGAGAATAGGTGAACTAGAAGATAAAATTATGGGAAAAGAAAAAGCTGAGAAAAAGAGAGATAAAAAAAATCCAGGAGAATGAGGGGAAAATTAGAGAACTAGGTGATGCACTAAAGAGAAATAATCTACGCATAATTGGTATTCCAGAGGAGGAAGAGAGAGGGAAAGGTGCTGAAGTTGTACTTGAAGAAATAATAGCTGAGAACTTCCCTGATGTGGGGAAGGAAAAAGGCACTGAAATCCAAGACGCACAGAGAACTCCCTTCAGATGTAACTTTAATCAATCTTCTACACAACATATCATAGTGAAACTGGCAAAATAAAAGGATAAAGAGTAAATTCTGGAAGCAGGTAGGGATAAACGTGCTCTAACATATAAAGGGAGATCAATCAGATGCGTGACGGATCTCTCTACTGAAACTTGGCAGGCCAGAAAGGAATGGCAGGAAATCTTCAATGTGAGGAACAGAAAAAATATGCAGCTGAGAAGCCTTTATCCAGCAAATCTGTGATTTAGAATACAAGGAGAGATAAAGGTCTTCCCAAACAAACAACAGCTAAAGGAATTCATCACCACTAAAGCGGCCCTAAAAGACATCCTAAGGGGGATCCTGTGAGACTAAGTACCAGAGACATAGCTACAAGCATGAAAGGTACACACATCACAATGACTCTACCCATATCTTTCTATAACAACACTGAACATAAATGGACTAAATGTGCCAACCAAAAGACATAGGGTATCAGAATGGATAAAAAAACAAGACCCATCTATTTGATGCCTACAAGAGACTCATTTTAGACCTAAGGACACCTTCAGATTGAAAGTGAAGGAATGAAGAACTACTTACCATGCTACTGAAGTCAAAAGAGAGCTGGAGAAGCCATACTTATATCAAACAAACTAGACTTTCAATTAAAGGCTGTAACAAGGATGAAGAATGGCATTTTATAATAATTACAGGGTCTATCCATCAGGAAGATCTAACAATTATAAATATCTATGTGCCAAATATGGGAGCCCCCAAATATATAAAATGATTACTCACAAACACAAGCAACCTTATTGATAACAATATGGTATTTGCAGGAGACTTTAACACTCCACTTACAGCAATGGATAGATCATCTAGACACACCGTCAATAAAGAAACAAGGGCCCTGAAGGAGACATTGGATCAGATGGACTTGACAGATATATTTAGAACTCTGCATCCCAAAGCAACAGAATATACTTTCTTCTCAAGTGCACATGGAAATTCTCCAAGATAGATCATATACTGGGTCACAAAGCAGCCCTTCATAAGTATACCAGAATTGAGATCACACCATGCATACTTTCAGACCACAATGCTGTGAAGCTTGATATCAACCACAGGAAAAAGTCTGGAAAACCTCCAAAAGCATGGAGGTTAAAGAACACCCTATGAATGAATGAGTGGGTCAACCAGGCAATTAGAGAAGAAATTAAAAAATATATGGAAACAAACGAAAATGAAAATAAAACAATCCAAAAGCTTTGGGATGCAGTGAAGGCGGTCCTTAGAGGAAAATACATTGCAATCCAGGCCTATCTCAAGAAACAAGAAAAATCCCCAATATAAAACTAACAGCACACCTAAAGGAAATAAAAGTAGAACAGCAAAGTCAGCCTATACCCAGCAGAAGAAGAGAAATAATAAAGATCAGAGCAGAAATAAACAATATAGAATCTAAAAAAAAAAAAACCTGTAGAGCAGTACAATGAAACCAAGAGTTGGTTTTTTGAAAAAATAAACAAAATTAATAAACCTCTAGCCAGGCTTCTCAAAAAGAAAAGGTAGATGACCAAATAGATAAAATCATGAATGAAAATGGAATTATTACAACCAATCCCTCAGAGATACAAGCAATTATTAGGGAATACTATGAACATTTATATGCCCAAAAACTGGATAACCTGGAAAAAATGGACAAATTCCTAAACACCCACATTCTTCCAAAACTAAATCAGGAGGAAATAGAAAGCTTGAACAGACCCATAACCAGGGAAGAAATTGAATCAGTCATCAAATATCTCCCAACAAATAAGAGTCCAGGCCAGATGGCTTCCCAGGGGAGTTCTACCAGACGTTTAAAGCAGAGATAATACCTATCCTTCTCAAGCTATTTCAAAAAATAGAAAGTGAAGGATAACTTCCAGACTCAATCTATGAAGCCGGCATTACTTTGATGTCTAAACGAGACAGAGATCCAGTAAAAAAAGAGAACTACAGGCCAATATCCCTGATGAACACGGATGCAAAAATTCTCAATAAGATACTAGCAAATCGAATTCAACAGCTTATAAAAAGAATTATTCACCATGATCAAGTGGGATTCATTCCTGGGATGCAGGGCTGGTTCAACATTCACAAATCAATCAACAAGATACATCACATTAATCAAAGAAAAGATAAGAACCATATGATCCTGTCAATCGATGCAGAAAAAGCATTTGACAAAATTCAGCAAACTTTCTTAATAAAAACACTCGAAAAAGTCGGGGTAGAAGGAACATACTTAAACATCATAAAAGCCATTTATGAAAAGCCCACAGTTAATATCATCCTCAATGGGGAAAAACTGAGAACTTTTTCCCTGAGATCAGGAACAATACAAGGATGTCCACTCTCACCGCTGTTGTTTAACATAATGTTGGAAGTGCTAGCATCAGCAATCAGACAACAAAAGGAAATCAAGGCCTCAAAATTGACAAAGATGAAGTCAAGCTTTCACTTTTTGCAGATGACATGATATTATACATGGAAA